CCCCAAAACCCCAAAACCCCAAAACCCCAAAACCCCAAAACCCCAACCTTTAGTTTTTATTTTGAAATATAATTTAAATAAAATTCCAAATGTCAAAAGACACCTCTAAACGGTCCTTCTCAAGATCGAATCGCCCTGAAGAATCTAACTACGGTGGTAACTCCAGGATGGAAGCCCGTGATGAAAATAAGAGAAAATTCCAGCTGTCCACCAACGAAATTGGTGAACTCAAGCACTCACTCCACTACATTGAATCGAGATTAGAAAGAGAATTGGACGTTAAAAATGATCTTGTCGAGAAAGCAGAACAAGATCACAGAAGAGTAGTAGATTTGGAGCTCCAACTCACTGAACAGAAGGAACTCAACAGAATCCAGAGTAACAAAATCATTGTCCTCTCTGACCAGCTTGACAAGTTCACAGGCTCCCAAGATAATATTGTTAAAGAACTTCGGGATAAATTCTTCGATTATAACAAAGAAATTGAGAACAAACAGCATGCACTGAACCAGACCAGAGTCACTCTAATGGAGACCAGGGAGAAGCTTGACGATGTCACTAGAGAAAGAGACAGGTACCTCGCTGAACTAGAAGCTGCAGACGAGAAAGCCAAGCTTCAAGAGGCTCAGATCAAACGTCTCAATACCGAACTCTCCATTGCTGAAAGGACTATTGAAGAATTTGTTAACTGCAAAGAGAAGAAAATCAGTAGCTTTTTCGACGAGAAAACTATTTACACAGATGCTAAGAAAATCGAAAGTATCCTATCCAGCATGGATGACACTAAGAATGATTATTCCAGGCTCGGGAAAAGCCCAAATGAAAGCCAAATTAACAACTGTAGGCCATACCTCATTCAGAAATTCAGACAAGAAGAGCTTAAGAAGTTAGAGATGGAAGCAGCTACTCAGAAGGAGCCTGATCTATCTGTACTTCCAGAAGATATCCAAGCTATTGTTAATAAATTTAGGAACAGACAGGGCAATGAATTAAGCTCAAAGATGGTTGATAAGCTTCTGGTCGAATGCAATAGGGCTTACCACTTTATAAAGCAAGACAGGGTATTGAAGATCAAGACTCAGTTAAATGCTGAGATCCAGTACCTTAAAAGAGTCCTCTCCCTCCTTATCCCTCTCGATAAGGACAAGGCTAGGACTGAAATAGCATACCTCAGGAGAGAACTTAAAAACGCTAGAGAGGACATTAGAAGACTTAATATCAAGATCAGGAAAAAGAAAGATGTTAGTAACGAAAAGTCATTAGATCTCGGCTCTAGATCACAAATCCAAGCGCTTAACGATGAACCCCTTAATGACGTTAGCACTCAAGATGGCTACAAGTCAAACTCCAGATTTATCGAAAAAGCTCTTGATGTAGCCGAAAGCGCAGTGAATGAGTCAAAGGTTCTCAATAGAAGAATCAGCCAGAATGTTCATGGCTACAATGCTGAGAAATCAAAGTCACATTACACTTGGAGAGAGGAAGATCAGAATGACGACCTCAATTCTGAGGAATGGCTTATCAGCGAAATCAACAATGCAGTCAAAGGCTCGAACGACAAAGTACAAAGAATGATGTATGCCTCTAGAGTCCACCTTAAATAACTCAACCTAAAATATGTTCTAGGGGTTTTGGGGTTTTGGGGTTTTGGGGTTTTGGGG